CAACTTGTGATCAGCAGTGACCAATTCGCTATCTTTCTTAGGAACCTGGTTCCCCTCAACATCTGTCTTGAGAATGATATTAGGACCATTTTTAACTACGAGCCAGCATTCATAATCAATACCCATGATAACATTCTGGATCCTGTTCTTCCACCAAGCATAATTATTTCCATTAAACTTGGGTGACTTGTTGTCATAACCGATTGCACTTAATTCTTGAGTACTCATTCTTAACTCCTCTAGATGTTACTCTTTCGAGAAGCTTAGGCTCTGATACCAATTGAAGGTTCAATGGGCACTCAAGAGGGGGGGGGGTGAATTGAGTGTTAAGTAATCGTTGGCTAATTTTGCTTCTTTTCGGATTATGTGTGAGGAACCAGTTGTGCTGGTTCCCGTACGCAGCGGAATATAAATAAGCAATAAAGAAGACAACAAATTTAACGAGGTTCAGCCAACTCAGGCCTACGTCCTCCTATCCTAAGTTCTTTATTAATCTACTCCGAAAAACAAAGACAAAGAACACTCTGCTGTTTCCCTACTCCGGGAACCAGCAAACCCCACACTCTACTCCGAGTGTGCTCTCGACTTACACTCGTAAGCCCAATGTGTTTGAACTCACAAACACTCACCCAGCCTTTAACCCCTTTGTTAAAGACTCAATACAAGAATCAAGAACTCTCCTTTGATCTCACTTCTACGAAGCTAATTAAGAGAAAATATTTAAGTACTAGAATGCTCTTGTATATGACTTGATGAATGGGATTAGTGCTTAAGTATATGCTCTCAAATAATTGCTCTTTTTAATTTCTGGAGAGGCACACGAAATATGTGAAATAAGATGAGTTTATATAAGCTTAGATTCCTAAAATCTAGTTTCCTTAAATCACACAATCTTAGAGAATAAGATATATTGTAATTTTAGGAAAGTATTTATCTTATTTGATTTAATAACAAAGATAGAATCAATTAAGATAAATACTCCTAGTTTTTAGGTAACCAAGAATATTTCATCTTATTTCCAGCTGCACAAAATATTTTCAAAATAATCTTTTCGAAAAAAATCTTTTTGTAAAATCTTTTTCCAAAACGGCAGCTCGAATATTTCGTACAGTGAACCTGGTTCCCCGACCTGGTTCCCTGAATTGAAACATGTTATGAAACCTGTTCCAACTTTGTACCAGATTTCATATCATACTTCAATATACTTTTAAGCACTTATATAACCCAAACATGCAAGCATACTACGGAGCATATTACATGAAAACCTAGATAACATATTAAAGCATAAATCGTCTTTTCTTCATGTAATCTTCAAGACTTGAATCTTCCTTGAATACTTCTATTATGAGCAAACAATCTTTCTTCGAAATATCTTCGAAAGGCTTCTATGCTCCAAGTCTTGGAATCAACTCAACTACTGCACATGTAACATGGTTAATGCACAATAAAGAGTATGTGACTGCTTTTCCGCATAGCGGTCAAGGAAACGGTTCATACTGGTTCCCCACCAGTACATAGCACATTTATCATCTAACTGTTTCCTGTATATAGATAAGTTAGTTCAATAGATAACTCATATAATCAATAACTTATCTAGGAAAACAGTGTTCTATTTTAGTTGGTTCCCCCAACTGTATTGAACACTTTCAAAGACCTGTTTCCCTTAGCTGTTTGTCATCATTCAAAACTATCAATCAAAACCTAAGGGACTCAACACCCACCCACTCGGAAAACCCACATCCACTAACGATTAGCCACCCCACCCTTTGAAATCCACCCCTACCTCTTTGAATCAATCCCCTACCCTAGAATAAAAAGATTTAAGAAATAGAAAAGAAGACGAGGAAGTGCTCTAGTGAGGGTGAATTGCTTTGGTTGTAGAGTTGGAGATGGGTTTAGAGTTAAAAAGGAGGTAGTGTTGTTGGTTTTTTTACAATTTTTTGAATTTTCCAATTCTACCGGAAGAACAACACAATCGACAATCCTAATCTCGATCATACCGATTGAAATGTGACTTTAAAACATTTGCAATGGATGGCTTCACAAATAGGGTAAGTTTTTTCGGCGGCGACTTTGGAGTATGCATAAGGGACACCTTGGTAAGTGGTGCAAAATGTGGATCGATGTAGAGAAAAGGGGGCTTTGGGAAGTTGTTGATAGTGTGGTAAGAGACTATGATTTAACTAATTGTCAAACTCAAATAATTACAAAACAAGCAATCAATTCGAATAATAAGAATTATGATCAATCAATGCAAATAAACTGAATAATAAGGGAAATTCTATAATAAAAAGCATCCAAGATCAAGCTTCAATTCACCACAAATATAATCAATGCAATAATCATTTTACTCCTAACTAACATATAATTCAATCGACAAGAGGAAAAGCAATCCCTAGAAAATACCAAAAAGTCTCTATTCCGAGTTATTAATGGTTTTCCTAATCATAATCAAACCTACTTTCATGAAATGAATCACGCAAATTAAGGACATTAAGCACATTACTTAGCTTTTAAATTATCCATTCAACTACTCTCCATAAAGAAGTTCAAACCTTTAATTGATCTATTCAAATCCGTTAAAACTCAACTCTCGTTGTGATTAATAGAACAATGGATTAAAAAAATACTAATCATCTATCCTTAATCTAGTATTGGAATAAGCACAATCAATTAAGCATGTCAATAGCAATTATTTTTAGAAAATTTAAAGAGTTAATTCATGCATCAATCATATTCGATTTTCGCTAAATCTTGGATTGGAAAACTACTCATGCATCTTAATGGAATAAAGAACGATATTCAATAAAGGAGACATGAATAAAAATAATAAAAATTAGAGGATTAAGAGGAGAAAATAATACTCTAAAATAATTATGAATGCAATCTTGAATCTTAAAAACAAAAAGCCCTAGAATTGATGAAGAGGAATGTAATACAATACTCTCTAAGATAATGTGTGAAAGTTCTAGATAAAAGACTATCTAAAACCTATTCAATTATATGCTAGGAAAATAGTAGTCGTCTTCTCTTAGGATTAGGACTCTAAAAGCCTAAAATTAGACCCTAATGTTGTCAATAAATTAAGAAGTGGCAACTAGGCTGTGGTATAGAGTCGCGAGTCGCGGTACTGCTGCGAAGTAGGCTGCAAGCTATGTGTATCTCACTCCTTTGTGAAGTATGCCGCACACAGGCTGCGGAATGATGCGTTAGGCCACAAGCCGTAGACTAGGCTGCCTTTTTATGTTTTATAGCTCTTCCAACATATTAACTCCAACTTCCTTTCTAATACTACATACTTTCCAAACAAAAACCTACAAAAACAAGGAATTAAAAGAATAGGAGGAGAGCAAGAATTGAAATAAATTTATAGCAAAATGATGCTCAAATAATTAAATGTATGGAGAAAGTACGCCAAATATATATATCATGTAAATGAGGCACATAAGTACGTAAATTATCACGTTATCTGTTCACTATCATTTCTTAAGCCATTTCAGTCATTTTAATAGTCCAAACCCTTTAATATATCTTATCCCAAAATCCACAGTACAAACCATATACCGATTTTATCTTATCATAAACGTAGCTTGTAACCGAGCTAAACTGACTTATGAGGCACATAATTTTTATTTAAATCCCATATGGATGAATTTCTCTTAAAATAAGGTTTTTAATGATATATCATAAGCTCAATTATAATTTAATATATAGGGGATATGAGCAAAAAACTTAAGTTTGTCCAAAACCGACACCCTTGCAATATTTTGGCTATATTATAAATCTACATATGATATTGACTTGATTTTAATTGGATTATAAAGACTTTCATAGCTTTTTGAACGTATACATTATTTTCCTTTTTCCATGTTCTATATCAAAAGTTATGATAAGAACAAGAAGTACAAATCCTGGCAAACTGTACTATCGCACCTCCCCGATTTATTTTGAGACGACAATTTTGACATTTTTAGTGTCTCGACAATTCCAGCGTGGCACATAATCTTTTGCTTGTCACAACAATTCAAAAAGTATTCGTCGTGTCACGACAAATTCATCATGTCACGGCGGTTTTCATTGTGGTGTGATGATTGTCAATGCAGTGGCGGACCCAATTAAGTGACATGGGGGGATAGCTGTCCCCCCATTTTTAAAAAAAAAAATTAAAAAAAAAAAAGTGAAAAAAACCAAAAAAAAAAAGCAAAACGCGACACTACTACGGAACGAAGAACAGCCAACGACACTCAGTCTTCACTCCTCCAATTCTCCGTTGCCTCCACTGAGATCGACCGTCCAGGCGTGCGTCGCTGCTCCACCAACCAGGCAACCACCGCCCTGCTGCGTCGCTGCTCTCGGTTCCTCACCACTCACCAGTTCACCAAGTCACCACAGCACCACTTCGGTCTTCGCAAATCGGCAGCCTCTTCACTAGCTGCGTGCACCGGCGCCGCCTGCGTGCAACCAGGCAACCACCGTCTGACCGTCGAGCCTCGGTCGTCCGCCACTGATGGTATGTCTTGCTATTTGCTAACCCTAATTCGAAATTCCCAATTTGAAATCCCCAATTGACAATTGTTAACCCTAATTTCCAGATTTTTGTTTAATTATTGTTAATTTTAATTGCAATCTTTGTTGAATTTTAATTTTAATTGCAATTTTAATCTTAGGTTTTATCGTTTTATTAGTATGCATTCTATGCAATGATGTGAATTGTGGAAATTGATATATATTTTTCAATTTAATTAGGAAATGTCAAATGATTCACCTAATTCAAACAAATCCAAGGCTACTAGAAAACAACCCGATCTTCGACAATTCATGTTTAAAAGAAAGAAACTCCATGAAAATGAGTCCAATAACTCTCCTTCATTAAGCTCCCCTCAAAGTCAAGAAGATGATATGGAAATGGGTGGTTCAAGTACTTGTAATGTACCATTGGAGGAAAATTGGTATACGATGTTGAACTTCTTCCTCATGATCCGGGAAAAAGAATAAACATAATGGATTACCCCGCAAATGAACGAAATGCAGTTAGGAGGGGTTATATTCTTAAAAAACCTTGCCAACCAAAAACTCATGACTTTCCTCAAAGACAAGTGTCTGGTTTACGTTGCTTTAGTGTTCATTGGTTCAAGAAATGGGATTGGCTTGAGTATAGTATTGAAAAAGATGCCGCATTTTATATTGTGTGTTACTTGTTCAAGAATGAAGTTGATAGTTATTCGGGGGGTGATGCATTTGTTGATGGAGGGTTTAGGGCATGGAATAAACCGGAAAGATTTGAGAAGCATGTTGGTGGAATTAATAGTGCTCATAATCTTGCTTATGAGAAATATGTGAATTTAAGAGATGAAAAAAAAAATCAATCTTGAATGTGTTTGACAATGCAAGTGAGGTGATTAAGAGTGAATATTTTATCCGCTTGAATGCATCTTTAACTTGTTTAAGATTTCTTTTGGGGCAAGGTTTGGCATTTCGTGGACATGATGAAAGTGGGGAGTCATATAATAGGGGTAATTTCCTTGAGCTTTTGAAATTGTTAGGAGAAAAGGTTGAGGAAGTAAGACAACATACTCTTGAAAATGCACCTAAAAATTGTCAAATGATTTCCCCTTCTATTCAAAAGGACATTATTAATTGTTGTTCCAAAGAAACAACTAGGTACATAATAGAAGAAGTTGGTGATAATTACTTTGCCATATTAGCCGATGAGTCAAGTGATGTGTCCCAAAAAGAACAACTAGCTCTTGTTTTGCGCTTTGTTAATAGAGATAGTGGAAAGGTAATGGAGCGATTTTTAGGCATTGTTCATGTTGGTGATACTACCGCTTTAACTCTTAAAGATGCAATCATGTCTTTACTTGTTGAACATTCATTGAGTCCATCTATGATAAGAGGGCAAGGGTACGATGGAGCTAGCAACATGAAAGGTGAAATAAATGGTCTTAGGACTTTGATTATGAATAATGATACTCCAAGTGCCTACTACATACATTGTTTTGCTCATCAACTTCAACTAACACTAGTTGCCGTTGCTAAAAAGAATGATAGTTGTGGTTGGATTTTTGAGATACTTGCAAATTTATTGAATGTGGTTGGAGTTTCTTGCAAGAGAAGAGAAATGATTCGACAAGATCAAGCTCAAGAAGTTGCTCGAGCATTGGATGTAGGGGATATTGTGAGTGGATCGGGTTTAAATCAAGAACTTGGTTTGAAAAGGCCCGGGGATACTCGTTGGAGTTCTCATTACAAGTCTCTTTCAAACATCATCCTCTTATTTCCTACAATTGTTAAGGTACTTGTACACATTGGGAAGCATGGTGTATCGGAAGATAAGTTCAAAGCTCAAATTGCTTTAGGACAATTAGAGTCATTTGACTTTGTTTTTATTGCTTACTTGATGTTGACTATTTTTGGATACACTAATGATTTGTGTGTTGCTTTGCAAAGAAAGGAGCAAGATATTGTAAATGCCATGGAACTTGTCACTTACACAAAAATAGTGTTGCGAAAAATGAGGGAGCAAGGATGGGATACTCTCTTAAACAAGGTAACTTCATTTTGTGCTAAACATGGTATTGTTGTTCCCACTATGGATTCTCCTTATGTTCCTCAAGGAAGATCAAGACGTTTTGTTGAAGAAGCAACAAATCAACATCATTTTCGGGTTGGAATTTTTTTAAGAGTGATTGATTTGCTTCTTCAAGAACTTGATGATCGATTTAATGAGAGGAATATGGAGATACTAATGTGTATGGCTTGTTTAAGTCCTAAAGATAACTTCTCATCCTTTGATAAAGATAAGGTACTTAAACTTGCCTCTTTTTATCCCGAAGAATTTTCAAGCTTTGATTTGATGACTCTTGAATGTCAACTTGATATATTCATGGAGAATATGCTAAATGATGAAAGATTTCAAGGTTTAAATGACCTTAATTCTCTTTCTATGATGCTTGTTAAAACTAATAAGCATAAGACTTTTCCTCTTATTCATTTGCTTATAAAGTTGATGTTGATTCTTCCGGTTGCCACGACAAGTGTTGAAAGAGTCTTTTCTGCAATGACACATGTGTAAAAAATAAGTTGCGAAATAGCATGGGTGATCAACTTATGAATGATTGTTTGGTCACTTTTATTGAGAAGGATGTCTTCTTAAGAGTTTCCGATGAAAAAGTTGTTGAACGCTTCCAAAATATGAAGACTCGAAGGATGAAAGTGTAATTTTAATGTAATGTTTATGTAATTTTTTTCATCATTTTGAATTGTATGACTAAGTATGTTTTTTATTTTGAAATTTTAATACTAAGTATTAACCAATTTGTGTGTTTGAGTTATTTTTTTTGTTTTTATTTTTTGTTAAGCTATTTGTAAGTTAAGCATTTTGTCCCCCCGAATTGAAAATCCTGGATCCGCCACTATGTCAATGTCCATATTCACCTTATAAATTGCCACACCATATCATTATTATCGTGCCCTGGTGAAAGTCGTCATGTCACGACCGAGACCTATTAAGCCACAACGCAAAAGCAAAACTATTCTAACTTTTTTTGATTTTTAGTATACAATACTATTTTCTAATATTCCAGATACAAATTCGAAGATTAGACGAGATGAAGATGACACTATTCGAGAGTTGTTATTTATCGCCCACATTTTTCTACTTAAAGCCCACATTTGGTAAAATTTTGACAATCTTGCCCTTATTTTAATTTTTACCGAAAACCAAATTTTCTCTCACCAAAAATGTGGAGCAGCACTGGATCGCCGAGGGACACCGAAGAGCCGTCATCGTTGGCGAGATGCACCGGAGAGCCGCTATCGTCGCCAGAAAACGAGGTACGTAGCCGTTTAAAAATACGAAGTGGCGGCTAGCGTGCTGCCGAGAAGCCGCTGCCGTGGGTAGGGCGCCTTGCCAGGACGCCGCCACCGTGACGGTGGGGCCTGGCAGGGAAGCCAACCCCGTGGTTGTGGCGCCTGGCCAGGCGCCACAGCCACGTATATATATATTTTTAATTTTATTTAAAGTTTTGTGTTTTTTTTATTTTTGTGTTTTTTTTTTGTTTTTTAATTTTGATAAATTTGAAATTAAATGTGTGTTAATAATTTTTTTTATAAAAAAACAAAATTTAATTGGAAATTATGTTTGAAATATGTGTGAATAATTTATAAAAAAACAAAAATATGGTTTAGTTTGACATTATGTTTTAATATGTGTTAATTATTTTCAAAAAAACAAATGTATGTTTTAATTTGTATGTGTGTGAATACTTTTTGTTTATCTTTTTCATTTTTTTGTTTGTTGTTTATATTTTATTGTTTTTGGTTATATTTTTTGTTTTTGGTATATTGTTTTGTTTATGTTTATATTTATTTTTTTCAAATTTGTTAAATTTTTTTTTATGTTTATATTTTTTTTTTCCGTCATTTGTATATTCATTTATTTATTTATTTATTTATTTATTATTTACTTTTTTGTAGTTCATATTGTATGTTTTAATAAACAAAAGTATGTTTTAATTTGTATGTGTGTGAATACTTTTATATATAATTACGTGTTAGTTTTGTGTTAATTATGTGTAAATTTAGACATTAAATGTATTATGCGTTAAATATGGAAATGATATTTAGAAATTTAAAGTTTAGAAATTACTTTTGTGTTAATTTTGTGTCAAATGTATTAATTTAATTTAATCCTTATGTGATTATATTTATATGTTATTGTTGCAGGATTATGGTGGAGACGGAAATGATTATAATGGGATTTTTGTACATGATGGTCTGTTCGAAGATGCTCAACAAGCGATTGATTGGGCAAAACAGGTTGCAATTATATCAGGTTTTTGATTAGTAGTAGAAGTCATAAATCTCAACGGGATGGTAGAATGGATCGCATTTTGAGATGTGACCGTTATCGTAAAAGGGAGGAACGAGATTTCAATCAAGCGATTCGGTTTGATTCAAAGCGGAAAGGTTGTGGGTGTCAGCTCAGAGTAAAGGTTCGACAACAGCAAAGGCGTGACGGTTGGGAAGTGAAGGGTTACGGTAAATAGGGGTATCACAACCATGAGATGATAGTATATGAAGTGGGTCATCGACAGTTAAGCGGTCTAAGTCCTGCTGCAAAACTAGTTGTAAAAGAAATGAGTGATGCTCAAGTGAAGCCTGCTAAAATATTAGCATCTGTGTTGGAGAAATTTCCTGAAGACCAGCTAAACCGAAGACACATCTACAACGTCAGACAGAAATTGAGGTTTGAACGGTCAGAGGGAAGGAACCCTATACATCAGCTTCTACACCAGGCACAAGCACGTGGTTACCTGTACTGGTTTTGAATCTGATGAAGACACATCGGAGGTGACTCATTTGTTCCTTATGCATCCTGATTGTGCTGATATGATTTCGTCTTGGCCATCTGTGATTTTAATCGATTTTAACGTACAAGACAAACAAGTACAAGTTCCCACTGGTTGAGATGGTTGGGATTGCTTCAACGAACCAGAACTTTCTGATTGGTTATGTAGTCATGAAGGATGAGACGGCTGTGAGTTACTGTTGGGTGTTGGAGAAGTTGAGAAATTACATTGGCCCAAATGTTCAGCCATCAGCCATAGTCAGTGATTGTGAGGGAGGTCTCTTTGCCCCTATAGCGGAGCAGTTTTCGGAGTCGAGCCATTTACTGTGCACATGGCACATCAACAACTGTGTGAAAGTCAAAGCCTACAACCTTTTCAACAAGAATTTAGATTCAGCAGAGAGATTGGTAAATGGTAAGTGGCGGAAGATCCTGCAAGCTACCACGGAGGCAGAGTACGATCGAGCTTTAGATAACTTCAAGGATGCGTAACAATGGTGCCCGACAATCGTAGACTATGTGATGCAGCAGTGGGTACCTCAGAGGGAAAAGTTTGTCAAATATTGGACAAACCAAGTTCTTCATTTTGGAAACACTACAACATGTAGAGTTGAGAGCGCTCATAGAGCTTTGAAGGACTGGATTAATTCTTCCACCTCTGCTTTGGATACACTGTTCGAGAGAATAAACAAGGCTATTGATACTCAGAAGAACGACATCAAGAACTCTCTCGAGGACTCCAGACGGCGACATGGCATGATGTATAGCCATTTCATATTTAATATTCTCCATGGTCGTGTGTCACACTACTGCTTGGGGTTGATTCTGAGCGAGCACAACAGGATGAGGGAGTTGGGTGATGAAGTGGCTATTTGGTGCGGATGTGCTATATCAGTGACTCATGGACTATCAGGGAGTTGGGTGATGAAGTGGCCATTCACCGCGTAATTACGCAAGATAGGGCGTCGTTACATGTTGATCAGGTTCATCCATTCTGGCAGACGCTCGTGATCGGAGAGCATGCTGTTCCACAGACGGTCCACCGTGAACAAGAGGAGTTGGAGCAGTTTCGTTCGATGTTTGACCAAGTGTCCTCCAGCCACCCTTCAATCATTCATAGTGCTACCCATGTACTTCATGACATGTTCAACACGTCGTGCTTGGATCAAGAGGAATCTGAAGGGGTCGAGCGACCAAGGGGTCGACAACCACGGCGGAACAGGAGTGGGTTTGAGTACATTCGTGGTCGTACATCGTCATCAAGTGGTAGCCAATCTTCCTCGTCGGTGAATATGCCCGGCACAGGTACGGTACTTTACTTTAATTTACTTTTTAGAGTGTTCATTTAGTTTACTGCTGACTTGTTAATTGCGTTTATTGATGTGTGCAATAGGTAGAATGGGCATTGAACATTTTCTATATAAGGACAGGATCCCTAACATCATGATGCCATTCTTGGACGAGTGGAATGATGTGGTTGCAGATGGTAACTGCGGGTTTTGGGTTGTGGCTGATGTGTTTCAGATGGGTGAAGACAAATACGGTTTAGTGCGTCAGTTGATGTACAGTGAAATCACCTCAAACCGAGGTGTTTATCGCCATGTGCACGACCAGGACTTGGATAGGTCTCTGCAGCGTATCCGATGGGGAGGAGGACCTTGCGCTCAAAATCATTGGTTCGACGCGCAACTTGATCTCTTTGCCGTTGCAAACATCTACAAGTGTGCAGTCATGCATTTCGGCCTTGGTTTGCATAGTCGAGCTTATTATCCATGTACCACGGTTCTGTCTTGGTGTTCGCGTGAGACCGTCACCAGACCGGTAAGAGAGGTTGCTATTGGATTTCTTAGGTTGTCATACAGACATTTTATCCGATTGGACCTGTCACCCGATTTTCCGGTCCCAACGATCATACCGAAGTGGTACACCATTCGTAGAACAAGCGTAGAGGGTTAGGATGCGATGTATCATGCCCGGGTGCAGTAGTGGAACAATCTAGTTGCCATTTAGTTTTTCCCGTGTACACCTACCTTTTCTATGTGACCTTGTATTGTTATTGCTATTTTTTTTTCCATTTATTTAATTTTCATATTCTAATTTATATCTTGCATGCACACTAATTTAAAACTTAAAATAATAATTTTAAAAACTAAAAAGATAATGTCAAATTCTAAAAACTTAAAATAAAAATTTCAAATGTTACAAACTAAAAAGATAATGTCAACTTTTACAAACAACTATGATACTGTACAAAATGTTCATTTAGTAATCCCTTTGTGACGCCCACTGCCACTGCTCAAGAGCCCGTTCCATATCATCAATCGTGGTTCTGCCTAATGCATCCGTCTCTTTTTTTCAAAAATTATGTGTGCCACCTGCATCATCTTTCTCATCCACTACACACAATAAAACACATAAAATTCAATAACGACGTATTATAAGAAAAAAAAAAACACAACAACAAATGTTTTATGAGACGTACCGCATCCACGGTAGTGGCCGGTGGCACATCATCATCATCGGCGTCGTCGCCATGGTGGAGGTCTCTGATCAACCTCGGGTGCGAGTGTCGGTTGTACCACTCCATGTAGTGCTAGTCACACATGGCAGTCACCCTAGTTAGCGGCCGCAGCAGCTGCTCAATCCATATGCGGGCAACCATCGAAAACTGCTCCCACGTGGCAATCATGCTTTCCGGCCATTGGACGACGTACTCCTTCGACGATGCAAATCGGACCTCCTTACTAGGCCATGCTGGTGGAGGAGGAACAACTTGGACAAATCCAAGCTGGCGAAGACAGCGCTGCGGCATGTACGCCTCTACGATCTCACGATACTGAATCAGTCCTGTGTACAGGGTCCTAGGTACCCTATTACTAGGGTTTTGGCCGAAAGGCATCCAGTTCACCTGCACATTTTTGTAAATTAGTAAGATTCATACAATAAACGCCTCAAACTATAAAAGTAGAAATAATTTAAACACTTTACCTCTAATGGGGACATCCTATCAAACGATAACCGTATCGATCGCAGGCGGTCAATGGACTTCTTCTCGACTCGCGGACTCCACGCACAGGGACGTGGCTGGCCATCCCCAATAGGAACTGGGTTGCGGTGTGGTCGAAATGCAGGAAAATACTCGTATATCCAGGTCTGTAACAACGTCAGACATCCAGTGATACCTGCCGCATCAGTCCGACTTGAGAATCCTAATTGCCGATACATATACGCCAACGTAGCGACCCCCAATAAAACTGGCCTACTCTGTCGGGCTCACACGCGTCAACTATGTCGCGTGGCCTGAGCTTGTTTCCGCTCTTATCCGGAAACAAGGTACACCCGAGAAGAAGAAAAACAAATGCAGCCAGTTGTGTGTCCTGCGTCCTACGTGCAGTGGGCCGGGTGCAAACATCGCTGCAAAACGGCTACGATCTTAACACCGTCGTGATCCCACACACCAAGTGCCGCTGTGTACAGCGCAGCCCTATCCACCGCCAACATCTCCGCTAGTAAATCTGCCTGATCCGCATCAGTGACAACAGATGCTCGGTTTCCCTCTACGGGAATCCCAAGGATGGCCTCGACGTCATGCAACATGATTGTCATCTCACCGAGCAGAAGGTGGAAAGAGTTCGTATCCGGCTGCCATCGCTCAACGAAAGCCGTGATCAGCGTCGAGTCAATCCTTTCGTGCATGGTGGCAGGAAGGTGACTCACTCTAGTGCCCCTCAATAGGCCAACCATCTCGCTCTCCTCCGGCCAAGCATCAACCCAACTACACAAAAAGTTACAAGTCTTTTTCCGGGTTTGGCATTTCAAAATGCTTGTATCCAAAGCCCTCTCCAGGTCCTCCCAGATACGGGTAGCGATGTGTCCTAGAAAGCTAGGAATCACACTCCCGTCTACAGGTCCCCAGCCACCTCACCCCTCACTACCCAAGATTCATTAACGGCCCTCGGCCGTTTTTTGCTTACCGCAGACACAGTGGACGCAGAAGATGTGCCAGATCTACTAACAAATCTACCATCTCTACCCTTACGCACATCTACCCTACGCGTCTCATACATATCATCAAGCCTCTGATTGAATGGACCGTAATCATCATATGGTCTACTCTGATCGTCGACATCCTCATCTGCATCCTCCTCCTCCTCCTCCTCCTCCTCATCACCATCATCATCCTCAGAATAGTGCACCCGTTCTCTGCGAGCCGAGGCCGAAATACCACGGGATCTAACGTGTCTGGGCCTCAAGCTCTCCATTGAGTAGATCGTACTTCTTACAATGTCCATACTCTTCCCCGCACCAGGTCCAAAATGCGATGCCTAACTCCATGTAAATAACGAAAAATAATAACGAAAAAAATTCAACAAAGTCTAAAAATGCACACAAAAACAAAAAAAACACCAAAACATACAATATTAACTTAAAAAAACTAAATACAAAATAAATAAATAAAAGAATATACAAATAACGGAAAAAAAAACATAAACATAAAAAAAATAAACAAATTTGAAAAAAAATATAAACATAAACATAAACAAAACAATATACCAAAAACAAAAAATATAAACAAAAAAAAAAACAAAAAAAAATCAAAAATACAAAGAAATAACCAAAAAAACAAAAAAAAAAAAAAAAAAAAAAAAAAAGAGAGAGAGAGGACACCAAAACAAAAAAATAAAAACCAAAAAAATTGAAACAACACCCAAAACAAAAAAAAATATATATAAAATAATAATTTAAAAAATAAAAAAAAAAGTGGAAAAAAAATCCAAAAAAAAACAAATTACAAAAATTTAAAAGAATAAAAAAAATGGAAAAAAAAAACGAAATAAAAACATTTAAAAAAAATTGAAAAAAAAGGAGGTGGCGTCCTGGCCAGGCGCCGCCACCGTGGCTGTGGCGTCCTGCCATGCGCCCCCACGGTGGCTGTGGCGTCTGGGTAAGGCGCCGCTACCTCTCCCGGTTGTTTTTTTTTTTAATTTAAATATACCTTTTCACCGCGAAACCGCCTTCCTCCCGCCACCGGTGCCGCCACTTCCTTGCCTTGTCGCCTCGACATTTTAGAAAAGTTTTTAGAGAGAGAAAATGACAGTAAAGAGTAGAGAGAAGATGAGAGTGTGTTTTTTACTTTGAGGGCAAAAGTGTCACTTTACTTCAAATTTATGGGCTTTATGTAGAGATTTGCGAGTGGTGTTTAGCAGTTCACTATTCAAAGACCTCTTGAGGCCTAGATGTGATATTTTCATTGCTGTAGGTTTTCTAAAGACAATTATTATCGGATTTTATTGCCTGAAAATCAATATGGGTAGTGCCAATCAAACTTTTTAAATTTAAGGGGTAGTTTTTTTAATAAAAATTTTAAGCTAGTAGTTATTGACAAAATGACCTATTAGGTAGGTAGTTCCTAACAAATTTTCCTAAACTATTAGTCATCTTTTTAGCCAAGAAATGGAAATTATATTATGACGTTACTTTTAGTCAAAAAAATGTAATTTATGTCATTTTAATCTTATTTAATCACTTATCAATGGCTTTCCTTACTAGTTTTAATGTAAATTATATTTAAGGTGATAAGTAACGTCAATATTGGGCTAATTTGTCGAAAAGACCAAAGATAATAATCATACAAATGAATCACTTTTTGAGATAGTAATAAACAACTTTATTTTTTAAAGGTAGTGAATAGCAAACCGCCCTTTTTAGAGGTAGTAATTGACAAATTTTCCTTAGTAATTATTTTAATTTTGAAACTATAAAATATTTAGTAATTTGTATATGTTAATAGTACATCTCCAAGTATCCTTATTTAATAATTCAAATTTAATCAATAATCTATGGCAAGAGTATTAGCAAATGAGTAAAACCTTACTAAGTAAATAGAAGTTAAAACACAGAGCTTAAGAGACGAAGATTTGCGATGTCACAATGTCACATGTATTGTGTATATATAAAAAAGACTAGAGTCCCCCTCAAAAAAAAGAAAAAAAAATTAATAAAAAAGACTAGAGTTGAAAATGAGGAGACTTTCTTGACATTGTGACATATAGTAAAAGTTGGAGAGGAGTACAAATATAAGAAATAATTCATAATAAAATAAAACCATCAACTCTGGAAAACGAACACAAACAAAATGTAACATTATACTATCATCACTCGCTCAATTATTTGTTTTAGTTACTAATCCTAACTCTTTTTCAACAGATCTTAACACTTATTCATTTGCACAGTACATAATTAAGGATTTAAGGAAGAAGGTTATTAAAAGTGTAAAATGATCACGAGTACAAGGAAAAAAAAAATGTTGGTGAAGGTAAGAAAGTGAGTTGAAAGGCGTAGATATTGCAGGATAAGTAGAGTGTAATATAGAACATTAAGAACCATAGGTTGTATAAATTTAACATCCAGAACAAGGTCTAGATCCATAACCAGGACCGTAACTCGGTGGATTACGATAGTAAATAGGTCTACCATTGCGCTGCATCCCAGATTCTGCAAAGCAAATACACATGTTAAGATATCTATCTATTAACATGTACTAAAAGCAAATCCTTTCATGTCACTTGTCATTATCTTGTGAAATTTTTTTTTCGCCATTTTCGTATTTTATTTTTTTTTTTTTTAATTTGCAAAATCTTTAAGTAAACTTTTTATACATTATGATATTTTCTTTCCAATTTAACAATCATATTCCATATATACCCAAATAAAATATTTCTGAATATCTTTTGTATACTTTATATTTGTAATATTATTCTCAAAAATATTTAACAACCATGTATTGCATAGGATTTTAACCTAGTATATATATATATATATATATATATATATATATATATTATGGAGTAGTTTGCAATAAATATCTTTGATGATAGTCTTTCCAAAAAAAAAAAAAAAAAAAAAAAAAAAACCACTTTGATGATATGGAGTAAGTAGGGATGTTAATGGGCGGGGCGGGGCGGATGTTGGCCTTCCCATCCCCATCTAAAATTTTCATACTCATCTCCATCCCCATCCCCATCCCCGCGGCGGGTCTAAAATTCATCCACATCCCCGCCCTGGCGGGTACTATTCCAAAACCATCCCCGCCCCAACGCCCACTTAGATATCCACACCCACTTAATCCCTACCTAACACCCGCCTCCCAAATACACAATGCTTCATAATTAATAAAGATTGCAAAAAAAAAAAATTATTGTTAATCTTACACATTTTTTTGTTTATAATATAAGTGTATTACAAAGTATTATATTTACTATTTTATTTTACATACTTTTTTTTTTATAAAATAGTATAAAAGTATATAATTTTGTTTTTAAAAATATATGGATGTGGAGATAGGGCGAGTACGAAGTGGGGTGAGTGAGGATAGGGCGGGTACAACCTAAAATTCACCCCCACCCCATCACCCATGGCGGGTATGGTTTTTATCCCCATCTCTGCCCCATCACCCGCCAAATCAAGACTCATCCCTGCCCCGTTAAGACGTGTCTCCTATTTGACCCGGCCCACTAACATCCCTAGGAGTAAGTGCTTTTGAAGATATAATTGTAGAAAAATCTAAGTTTAAAAGTTCGATATTCTTAAAATACATTCCGTATTTTGGTTCTTTCCTAACCTCTATACTCTATTTCTTTGCTTACTACTGGCACGAAAATTAATTAGACTTTAGATTATGTATCCAAAATGAGGAAACCTTGATCACAAAATCTTTTTTTTTTTTATTATTTTTTTTTTTAAGAAATCACAAATTCTTATTTTTCAAAAAAAGTTATTTAAAGTTTTTCTTGGTTCAAGTCAATATACTTTAATTTAAAAAAAAAAAATACTTTAAATAATGTCTTTTCTTGGTTCAACTCAATAAACTAGGGGGTGTTTGGTTCATCAAGTTGGAATGGATTGGTATGAAATCCCATACTATCTAGAGAGGTATGGATTCTAAAACTAATACTAGTCCAAAATTGTTTGGTTTTATTGTTGGAATAAATTCTATCCTTCACTAATAGAATGGATCGTGAATTTTAGGAGGAGGGGTAGGTGTGAGATTCCACAGGCATGAGATTTCATTCCTAAAAACCTCAACCTAACAAAAAATTAGATGGAATGATTCTAACTCCATTCCAATCCATTTGAAATGATCCAACCAAACTACCCCTTTATATCGTTCAAATCCCTTATAAGAAAAAAAAACCAACAATGTATATTGTTCAAATATCAACTGTATTTAACTTTTCTCACAAGAATTTGGAGTTATTAATTAAAAATTGCACTTGACTGACTTGAGTTTGTACAAATAGAGAATATAAAATTAATTAATTAATTAATTAAGTAAGTAAGTAATTAAAAAAAAAATAAAAAAAAGACTTGCGTTGGTTTTGAAACATAGTACCTTGTAAGTTGTAAGAACATAATAATTAATTGGTTGCACATTCGTGTCAATGGTGGTCATAATTTTTCTTTAGCAACATCTATCTTTTCTACTACACCCATCACCAACCCTCATAAAATGCCCATAATTATATTGGTTGCCTTCAAATTTTAGGCATTTATTTTCTCTTGTACAATTTGATATACTTCTTTCATTTCTAATTTATTGTCCTACTTTACTTTTTGAAATATATATTTATACTTATAATTGTAGTAGATTCAATAAGATTTGGAGTATCAAAAATTTTAAATAGGACAATTAATTAAAAAACGGAGGTTGTTAATTTAATCCCTCAATATGCTATAATTGAATAAAGCAATAAATATAACAGAGTCAGTTTTTTATTTTCTTTTATTAATCGTTAAAAAAAAAAAAACTTGGAATCATAAGATATAAAAAGAAAAACACATGTTCTCCATAAGTAAATGACATAGCAAAGATTAAGAAGCTTACGCGTCTTTTGAGTTGAGATAGGCTCAGCCGTCTGACGAGCTGAAACAACGCAAGGAGTGAGAAAAAGAACAGCAAAAATGATGCCAATTAGAAAAACCTTTGAGGAAGCCATTTTTAAACTCAACTACTATAACTTGTTCTTGGGTGTGATAAGAAGTACAAAAGTTGATCACTTATTTATAGTCAATTGTAGCCTCCAAGGCTGGGACTGTGGTCAATAGCAATAATAAGATGGACTTCTTCTTTGTGTCGCCAAATAGTACTTGTCTAGCCGTTGAAACATATATAAATTAAATGTGCTTTTGGATTCACATTTATATCATTGGGAGTTGGAGAAATTAATGATATACAGTTTTGTTAGTAAAGCAGTAATTGAAATATAGCAATAAAACGTAATTGTAAAGTAACTTATGTTGGTGTCTTTTGAGTAAGAAGAGTTTTTGCTAGCTTTTCATGTACTTATTAGTAACGTAAATAGTTGATTATGATTTTTATTACAATTAATTTACGTTGATGTATTTTGGGTGAAAAGACATAACTTTTAAGGGGGACACTATTTTATTTATATCCCTCTTTTTCTATAAATAGAGATGGTTTTCTAATGTGAATGTATGATGTAAGATAAAAAGACAATAAACATCATTTAACTTGCTTTCTTTGAGAGCAAATTTTTTAGAGCATTTTCTCTTCATTTTACAAATACTTGTTCACAAATTTCTTGTATATTGATTTAGTGAAACAATCTAAATCAATTGGCATGTTCTTTGTATCTCAATAGTTTTATCGTGTGTTGAAGCTTAAGAGTTTTGATGATGATGAATAAAAGCAAACTTCAACTAATACAATTTCTCTAAGTGTTGAAGTTGACTTTGGAAGTGGAAGAGTAATTTGTCTATGAAGACACAAGGAGACTCCAAGGAAAGTAGAATAAAAGTTTCTTAGTGGAACTAACTGAATTCCCTAATAGGAACATGAAGAGAAACTCTCTAACTGGAGCTTGACAGCAAGTTGAGAAGATTGACTTGGTCTGCGTTGAAGACACCAAGTTCCATAAGAACTTGGCCTGCGTAGTTCCAGCAAGGAGCTGGTGAGTGAAGGACAACAGGAACTCAATCTTGATCTGCGTGAAGCCCAAGTATCTTTAACATACAACAATTGATGAGATAAACTAACTAGAGAATATAAGTCTTTTTGTTAAATTTATTTATCTAATGATTACTATAAATATATTAGGTTAGTTTGTGCATGGAATTTATTAGAGGCGTGACAAAGCTTGTCAAGCTTAAAAATGGAAAGTTTATAAAAGATAAGTTTTCAATTTATGAAAAAGATTTTCTAAATTTTTTTTATAGAATCCGGTTTTACATGATATTATTCTTTTCATATATTGTATGTTTGATAAGTTTTTTTAAAAGATTTTCTTTACAAAAGATTTACATAAAACGTGTTTTATGAAATTGGTAGTTTTATAATGTCTATCTTTTTGAAAACCCTACTTTACATACGAGTACTTCTTGTATATAAAGTAGAATTTATAATTTATACAATTTGTGAGTTTATGCGTGAAGAATCTGAAGAGAGCTTTGAAGTGTAAGTTTTCCAAGTCTACACTTTGTCATATTAGTTTCGGATTTCATGTGTAGCTTTCCTATTACATATTAGAGTCAAGAGTTTGTATTGTTTTGGTTTGGGTGAGTGTTTAGCTTATTGCATACAGATTGTAAGCTTCTTGATTGAAGCTGAGTGAGTAGACAGTCAGGGGTGTCGTGTAGAATCTAAGTTTGAGATTTAGATTGGGTAGGATAGGGTCCTATCGAGTAGCAAGTTCAGTTAGGAACTTGTGAGTAAAGGTCTAATTTTAATAGGTTGTAACTAGGAGAGTTTGCCTTATTATAGTGGATTGTTTTGGTTTGAAATCCCTTGGAGGGTCGTGGTTTAACTTCCAATTGGACCCTGGAAGGTTTTCTCGTAAAATCTTGTGTACTTTGCTAAGTTCCTTTGTATTTCGTTTTAATACCGCAAAAAGTAGTCACTAGGAACTCACATACAAATCACCCCCCTCTTGTAGTGTTCGTCTCAACTAACATCGTGTTAACCCTGTTGTTTCGTATGGGTGATAATAAACTATTAGATAAGCGGCATTAAGTTACGTACCTAGAAGAAATATCCAGTCCCTCTTCTGTTATAGCCTCCAAATTGTTATGATACTAGTTATGTAAGCATATTGATTTGTGAGATACAATCCTCAATAAGGACACTTGGGGTCCAATGGTCCATAGAACCTTATCCTTCCTTCATTCCCATGGAGCCTTAATTACTGTTAGTTTTAATCGAGTTGACTTATTTAAGGTTAGTTCTTGGGTGTGACCCAAATTTTAGAGACCTATTGTTTAGGCGGAGACCTATTGTTTAGGCGGAGAGTTTAATAAAGTTTTCGCATACATGTAACATGGTTGTTATAGCTTTCAATTTGTCTGGATTTTTCTTTAGTGAACTTCACTAGCTTAAGTCCCGTGTTATGCACTGTTTTACTAAATTTTATAGTGAATTATATTGCAACAATTATGTACCAAAAAAAATACTATAAAGTATAATTTTAAGGGAAACAAAATAGCTAGAATTTTAATTTATACCTATGCTAAAGACGTCAAGATTATTGATGCAAAAGACTTAACAAATAAAATAAAATGAAATAAATTTATGGACCATAAGGTTTTATACTACTCCTTATAAAAAATGAAAATTTTATATTAGTGCCCATACGATACACATATACATGAAAATACCCTTCGTCCCTAATTTGTTAACATACTTTATTCGACACAACATTTTATGCAAATTTATTTGATTTTATTTTACTTTGTGATAATTAAAATCTTTTTTTTTTTTTTTTTTATTTAGAGTTATTGAATTGTCAGTGATTTTACATAATACATGAGTAGTATATATAAGTATTTATTAATATAATAACTTTTGCTTAAGTAAGTTATTATAGGTTATTGCAAACATTATTATGTTGAAGTAGGGAAGAAAAAATTGTATTCCTAACAAATTATAATTTTTTTTATTGATTAGTTAAGGTTGTGTATATATTACATTATTATAAATTTCGAAAATATTTTTGCACAAAATTTTGACACATGATATTATTAATATGAAGAGTAGAAAAGTAAAGAATACACATTTATATATGTTATTAAAATATTTTCCTCTCCAATTGAATAGACTTTATTGCTAAAAATAATAAAGTTGAAAAAAAATAAAAGAATGATTATACATAGTCATTGGCTAAACATTCTATTCTATTCTATATATATATATATATATATATATATATATATATATATATATATATATATATATATATATATATATATATATAAATAATACCTTTAATGTGGAAAGAAAATATTAAAGTTATTGAGGTTTGACCAAAAGAAAAAGAAAGAAAAAAAAGGTGGAAAAATATTTAATAAGGAGGAGACATGTGTTATTCCAAATTCGCCTTTAGTATATAGTTATAGATAGATTGATTCTTTAGAATTTTCTACTAGCTTTTATCATGCAAGCCACTATAATGATCTAGAAGATTGTTGACATTGGAAGCAATTAGAATATATGGTTCGTGAAAATTCTAGAAACTTATGGCTACAAAAATGATGGTGTTCTGGAATATTCTAGTGATTTCTTTGAATAAACTCCATCTTCAACTATAAATATTGGTTATTGGCATTCAATAAATGCTTACACACGAGAAGCCATACTCAGAAGCCTTCTTATCAACCCTTCTTGTATATATCCACTATTTCTACTACAAATCCACTATTTCTTTTTATACTACTACTACATTGTTTTTTACCTACTAATTTAAAAAATTTTAAACCAATTGTGTTTTTTTATTTCTAACTTTTGTTTTATGTCAATTGTTCGCCAATCTTATTTTTGCTATATTTAAATAAGTAGTTTTTATTAAATGCATGTATAATTTAAGTAAATTAAATTTTCAATATAAAATACCAAGCAACGTAACTTGTTTGAGCAGGGTTACTTAATCAAGCTACATTAATGTTTTCACTATAATGGTAAGCTACATGCTTGTAATTTTATATATTCAACTTCAAAGTAGGTTCCTTTTGGATACCAGAGATGCTCTAAGCCTCATAAGACTTTTATCTCACGGTTATGAGATGTATATTTTTAAGATTATTGTACATTACGACCTTTAAAAATACCTATTTTTTTTATTTATTTAACCACTTATAAAAAATATTAAAATTATCATCTAAAATAAAAAAATAAGAACTTTTGATTCCATCCCTACTTCTTGACATTTCCATCAAAAACCAATTTGTGGGTCCACTTAGTGAATTCTCAACAACTTTTTTTTTCTTCTTATTTACGTAAAGTTGCTATACAAAGAATTTAGCGTTATTTTGGCCCCTCATAACTTATTGAGATCATAACTTACCAAAATTTGATTAAACCACATTGTTTTATATGCCAAAAAATACCTCAAGTTGCGTGTTGTGATTTGTATGTTAAAAAATTGCTAAAACAAGATTCTTGGGTTTCATTATAATCTTTAAGGATTGAATTTGAAATCAAAATTTAGCAAATTAGCTAAAAAACTTATTGTTTGGCAAGGCACTACTTTCATATCTAGAATATTGTCCTGTTAAAGTGTTAGATATTTAGGGGCTATTTTGAGCCTTATGGATTGAATTTATAGTCAAAATTAGCATTTCTTTTTAGCGTAAACCTCTCGGTGCAAAACTAGTGTGTTTTTGGTACATATATTTATTTTTCTAATTTTGATCTCAAAGTTGATCCTAAAAACCAAAATGTTTTTTAAAACCTTAATTGAGCAATAAATGTTTTTTTCAGCATGAAATCACGATACGTAATTAGGGTAATTTTTGCATACAAATCATTAATTTTTACAAATTTTGACCCCAAATTAAACCCTTAAAAGCCAAATAGTTCTCCCAAAACCTAAGCAAATTCATTTCTTCGGCTTGTAATATACTAATTTTGAAAGGGTGGAAAGTTATTGGTTGGGCCCACAATCGATTTCAAAAAATCAAAATTTTTAATTTTTAAACTAACATTTGTAAATAAAGACTTAAATGTAATTGAAAGGAGTTGTATTTTAACACCTAGTTGTTACTTAATTAGCTAGAGACAAAATGTCATACAATCATATTGTTAATGGAGAGAATTAAAGAGTGTTTCTAATAATCTATTCTCTCAAAATTTGTTCTTATACTATACAATCCTAAAACGATAATCATAAGAAGTTAAACATTTATTGTACGTTAACATGGTCTTATAATGTAAAAAATACTAGATGGATTTCAAGCTATGCTAGACACTATGCGATTTGGTGTTTTTGTTTGCTTGCATTTTAACCTAATAA